TCTGTTTTTATGCCAGCGGCATGCTGTTTTAATTACTGTAGCTTTGTAATATACAGTTGGCGGGCCTTATCTTTAGTTTGTTGGCCCCATCCACCAATTCAACCAACTCTAGGTCAAAAGCTGTGGATATGGAGGGCTGACTACGTATTTTCTATCTACAGTTGGTTGCATCCGCAGATGTGGAACCTGCAGATACAGAGGAATGACTGTATATATGCTGTATAAAAGGGACTTTTGAGCATCTGTGAATTTGGTGTGTGTGGAAGATGGTCCTGGAACCAATCCCCTTTGGATACAGTGGGCCAACTTTAGTTTGAAGTCAAATAGGGTGATACTTCTAGGTTTTTTCTTTTTGTTCAAGATTGCTTTGGCTATTTGTTTTTAGTTTGTTTGCTTGTTTGTTTTTTAGTTCCAAATGAATTTAAGGATTGTTCTGTTTCTGTGACTAATGTCATCGGTGCCTTGATAGAGATTGTATTGAGTCTTTTTATCTCTTTGGGTAGCATGAACATTTTTTTAAACAATCTTAATTATACTAATTAATGAACATGGCATATCTTTCCATTTTTTTTTTTTTTTGTCTTCAGTTTCTGTCATCAGCATAGTTTGTGGTTTATAGATCTTTCACCTCCATGGTTAAATTTCTTCCTAAGTATCTTATTTTTTGTAGCGCTTTCATATTTATTATTTCTCTCTTTTCGTCATTCTTGGAATGCTATAATGTAGCTCTTTTAAGTGGAATAAAAAGATTTTTTTCAGGTAGTTCATTGTTAGTATATAGACGCGCTGCCTATTTTTGTGTGTTGATTTTTATATCCTGTGACTTTAACCTAATTATTATTTATTTTATTTCTAAATATCTTTTCACCTTGATGGATACAGTGTGTTTATTATTTCTAACAACTTGATGGTGTAGTCATTAGGATTTTCTAAATATAAGATCATTTTGTCAGCAGAGACAATTTTACTTCTTTTCTTGTTTGGATGACTTTGATTTTTTCTTTTTGCCTAATTGCTCTGGCAAGGACTTTTAGTACTCTGTTGAATAGAAGTGGTGACAGTCGGCATGTACCTAATCTTACAGGAAAAACTTTCAGCTTTTCACTGTGGAATATAATGTTACCTGTGGGCTTGTTCTTTATGGCCTTCTTTGTGTGTGTGTTGAGGAACATTCTTTTTATAGTTAGTATGTATATTTTTTTGATACGGAGTCTTGCTCTGTCACCCAGGCTGGTGTGCAGTGGTGAGATCTCGGCTCCCTGCAACACTGTAGCCTCCACCTCCTGGGTCTGAGTGGTTCTCCTGCCTCAGCCTTCCAAGTAGCTGGGATTATAGGCACGTCCCACCACACCCAGCTAATTTTAATATTTTTAGAAGAGGTGTGGTTTCACCATATTGGCGAGGCTGATCTCCAACTCCTGACCCCAAGTGATCTTCCTGCCTTGGCCTCGCAAAGTGCTGGGATTACAGGTGTGAGCCGCTGCACTCAGCCTCTATAGTTAATTGTTGAGAGTTTTATCATAAAAGGGTATTAAATTTTGTCAATTTTTTTTGCCATCTAATGAGATGATGAAATGATTTTTATCCTTCATTCTATTAGTGTGTCACCTTTAGTGTATGTTGTATTATCTTTGCATCCCAGGGATAAAACCATTGTGATCGTAGTGAATGATTTTTTTCCTTTCTTTTGAGCCGGAGTGTTGCTCCGTTACCCAGGCTAGAGTGCAGTGGCGTAATCTCGGCTTGCTGCAGCCTCCACCTGCTGGGTTCAAGCAATTCTCCTGTCTCAGCCTCATGAGTAAGAGGGGTTACTGGTGCATGCCACCACTGGTGGCGGATTTTTGTATTTTTAGTAGAGATGGAGTTTCATCATGTTGGTCAGGCTGGTCTCAAACTCCTGATGTTGTGATCTGCCCGCCTCGGCCTCCCAAAGTGCTGGGATTACAGGCGTGAGCCACTGTGCCTAGCCGGTAAATGATCCTTTTAATATGCTGTTAAATTCTGTTTGCTGGTGTTTGTTGAGGATATTTTCATCTGTGTTTATAAGATACATTGACTTGTAATTTTCTTTTTTTGTAACGCTTTTGTCTGGCTCTGGTATCGTGGTATAGTAGCCTCTTAAATTCCTTTTCTTTTTTTTCTGTGTAATTTGTTGTAATATTTTCTCTTTTTCTAATGTTATTTGAATTTTTTCTTTATTAAATGTCTAGCTAGAGATTTGTCAGTTTTGTAGTTCCTTTTTAAAAAAACACCAACTCTTAATTTTGATTTTTTTTTTTTTTCCTTTTCTTCATTTCATCATTGTTTTTAAATTGAGATAAGGTCTCACTTTGTCACCCGGGCTGGAGTGCAGTGGCGCTATCTTGGCTCACTGCAGCCTTGACCTCCTTGTCTCAAGTGATCCTCCCACCTGAGCTCCCCAAGTAGCTGGGACTACAGGCATGGGCCACCATGCCTGGCTAAGTTTTTGTATTTTTTTTGTAGAGACAGGGTTTCACTATGTTGCCCAGGCTGGTCTTGAATTCCTGAGCTCAAGTGATCTGCCAGCTTTGGCCTGTAAAGTGCTAGGATTACAAGTGTGAGCCACCATGCCCAGACGATTTTTGTTTTGTTTTGTTTTGTTTTTTAATTTTTTATTTCAGTTGTTTCTGACCTAATCTTTGTTATTTCCTTCCTTCTATTAATTTTGGACTGTGTTCTTCTTTTTCTACTTCCTTGAAGTTTTGAGGTAGGCAGTTTATTTGAGATTTAAAAAAATAAGGTGTTTATAGGTCAAGCTCAGTGGCTCACACCTGTATTCCTAGAACTGTGCGGGGCTAAGGTGGACAGATTGCTTGAGCTCAGGAGTTCAAGACCAGCCTGGGTAACATGGTGAAACCCTGTCTCTCCAAATACAAAATTAGCTGGACATGGGACATGTACCTGTGGTCCTAGCTACTGGGGTATGGGGGTGGGGGGACCGCTGAGGCTGAGGTGGGACGATCACTTGAGCCTAGAAGATTGAGGCTGCAGTGAGCCAGGATTTTGCCATTGGAGTCCAGCTTGGGTGATAGAATGAGATACTATGTCCAAAAAAAGAAAAAAAAAAAGCATTTATTGCTATAAATTTCCTCTTTTGAACTGCTTTTGCTGCATCTCATATATTTTGGTATTTGTGTTTTCATTTTCATTTATCTCAGGATATTTTTGAATTTCCTTTTTGATTTTGTTCTTTGATTCTTTGGTTGTTCAAGAATGTGTTTAATGTCCACATAATTGTGAACCTTCCAATTTTCCTTCTGGTACTGATATCTAGTTTTATTCTCTTCTGTTTGGAATATTTTCCAATCTTTTAAAATTTGTTATTATTTTGTGATCTAATGATCAGAAGGTTAGATCACATGTTAGAGCCTGGAAAATGGTTTGTGTGTGCTTGAGAAGAATGTAGTCTCCTTATCTTGGGTCACATGTTTTATATATATATATATATATGTCTGTTAAATCCATTTGGCTTGTGGTATTATTCAAGTCTTCTGTTTCCTTATTAACCTTTGTCTGGATAGTCTATGGAAAGCAGTATATTGAAATTTCCTACGTTACTGTGTTGGTGTCCATTTTTTTCTTCAGCTCTGTCACATATATTCATACACTTTTGTACTCTGATGTGGTATGTGTATATATGTATAATTGTTATATTTTCAGAGTGTATTCGTCTAATATAAGCATAGCCACCCCTGTTCTCTCTCGGCTAACATTTGAATGGAGTATCTTTTTTCATCCTTTCACTTTCAGCCTATCTGTGTCCTTAAATCTAAAACTAGTTTCTTGTAGACAGCATACAGCTTTTTTGACAAAACCAGCTCATCTTAAAAAAAAAAAAATCAGTTTAGCCGGGTGCAGTGGCTCATGCCTGTAATTCCAGCAGTTAGGAAGGCCAGGGTTGGTGGATCACCTGAGGTCAGGAGGTCGAGACCAGCCTGACCAACACTGAGAAACCCCCTCTCTACTAAAAATACAAAATCAGCCAGGTGTGGCAGTGCATGCCTGTAGTCCCAGCTACTGGGGAGGCTAAGGCAGGAGAATCACTTGAACCTGGGAGGTGGAGGTTGTGGTGAGCCGAGATTGGGCCATTGCACTCCAGCCTGGGCAATAAGAGCTAAACTTCATGTTAAAAAAGAAAAAAAAAAAACAGCAAAAAACAAAGAGACAAAACAAACCAATTTAGATACTTTGTCTTTTGACATGGAGTTAAGAGCTTACATTTAAGGTACTTAGTGATAGGAAAGGGCTTACTACTGCTGCCATTTTGTTAATTGTTTTTCTGTTTTGGAGCTCTTCTGTTCTTTTCCTCTTTTGCCCTCTTCTTTTATATTTTATTATATTTTTCTATTTTTTCTTGCAATTTGTTCAAGAGATTGGGTCACTCTCTATTAGATTTTCCCGTAGTTTGAATTTTGGTGATTGTATCCCTATGGTATCTCTTAATATATACCCCTGTGAACTTTTTCTGTAAATTGTTAGTTGTATCTAGATGGCTTGATCAGATTTTGATTGGTGTTTCCCTACCCACAAGACAACTTCATAGGTGGGTGATGCTTTCTTTTCTTTTCTTCTTCTTCTTCTTCTTTTTTTTTTTTTTTTTTGGTGAGATAAGGTCTCACTCTGCTGGAATTGCAGGCGTGAGCCACCGTATCTAGCCTGCGTGGTGTTTTCTTTCTCAGAATCTGGAGGCACGTAATGTTTCATAGTCTATTTTTGTAATGTGAGTAGCCATTGGTAGATGCCTAGATTCTTTAATTAGGGATCTTAAAATGGTGATATTCTAATTGCATAATTCCTTCTTTTTTACTACAGAGATATTTCTAATCTTCTATGGGTTACCCAGTGGTACAGTTAGTATATGAAAGGCAGGATAAATGCTTGATTATTTTTTTTTATTTGTCAGTTGATATAATTTGCTCTGTAAGAAGCATCTCTTGTTAGGGTGGAAATTGAAACACATATTTTCTATTTTGTTTTAGTTTGCATTTATGTCGGATCCTCAGTGAAAATAAAAGCCTTGATAGTTCGACATACAGAGGTAAGATTTTTAAAAGTATCTTAGCTATCGTTTTTGGCTTGATTACAGTTGGTAACTATCCTGGTTTCTAGTCATTGTTAGGTATGAAAACAAAAGGTATATAGTTCATTTTAAATGAAGGTTTTACGTGGTTATATTAGAGTCAGGATTAAGATTGTAGTTATGTTAAGACTATATCTCTTACTGTACCAATGTTATTTGATGTGCATTATATTGAGATTATATTGCTTGACTTATGTAATTAGGACTTGGTATATTTAGCTAAATTTCAGCAGTTGTTAGCTGTATCAATCATAAATATGAGAGAAAAGATAGCATGGAAAGAAAAATTGTTCTGATCTTGTTTGCGCTAGAAAATTTCCAGAAACTGAGGTTCAGTGTTTTTACTAAAGCTGGTTATGTTTCGGTGTCGTCTGGGGATCTTGTTAAAGGCAGTTGTCATGAAAAACATTCACACAAAGGAATTGTTTGTTGCATTTCACAAATACGATTTATTAAATAAAATACTTGTAATTAAACAGGACGTCTTACAATTTTCCAGTAACTTTAGTTTTAAAGGACTTTACTATTAACATTTTATTAATTTAAAATTAGACCTGTGGATTTGTCAAAGAGGGCCAAAACTAAAAGCAATTGTGTCTAATAAGTGTAAAGCATTTACATTTGTAGTATTGTGAGGGGTAAAACCCACAGTGTATTTTTAAATTATAAAATATGTTTTTATAACCCATATTCTATTTGAAGCCTAAAATCATTAGATAAAATTAATTATGATCATTTAAAATATGCATTTGTGAATAGAATGTAAAGAATAGAATTATATATATATATATATATATACACACACACATATATATGTATATAAAAATGTGTGTGTGTTTTATTTTTCTTCTACCCAAAATTAATTATGACTTTCATAAGAGAGGAGATATATATGTGTGTATATATATATATATTTTTTTTTTTTTTTTTTTGGAGACAGGGCCTCTTTCTGTTGCCCAGACTGGAATGCAGTGGTGTAATCATAGCTCACTGCAGCCTTAAACTCCTGGGCTCAAGCGTTCCTCCCACCTCAGACTCCCAGGTAGCTGGGACTGCAAGTGTGCAACACTGCTCCTTGCTTTTTTTTGATTTTTGCTTTTTTTGTTTTCAAGGCGGAGTTTTACTCTTGTTGCCGAGGCTGGAGTGCAATGGTATGGTCTCGGCTCACTGCAACCTCTGCCTCCTGGGTTCAAGCAGTTCTCCTCCCTCAGCCTCCTGAGTAGCTGGGAATACAGGCATGTGCCACCACGCCTAGCTAATTTTGTATTTTTAGTCGAGACAGGGTTTCACCACGTTGGTCAGGCTGGTCTTTAACTCCTGATCTCAGGTGATCTGCCCACCTCTGCCTCCCAAAGTGCTGGGATTACAGGTGTGAGCCACCATGCCTGGTCTTACTTTGTAAATTTATTTTTTGTAGAAATGAGGGGTCTTGCTATATTGCCCAGGCTGGTCTCATACTCTTGGTCTCAAGCAATCCTTTCACCTCTGGCTCCCAAAGTGTTGGGATGACTGTCATGAGCCACCTTGCACAGCTGAGGATAGACTTTTTAAAGAACATTTGGGCTGGGTGCGGTAGCTCACACCTATAATCCTAGCACTTTGGGTGGCTGAGGTGGGTGGATCACTCGAGATCAGGAGTATGAGACCAGACTGGCCAACATGGTGAAACTCCTTCTCTATTTAAAAAAAAAAAAAAATTAGCTGGGTGTGGTGGCGTGCGTCTGTAATCCTAGCTACTCTGGAGGCTGAGGCCCGAATCGCTTGAACACAGGAGGCAGAGGTTGTAGTGAGCTGAGATCATGCCACTGCACTCCAGCCTGGATGACAGAGTGAGGCCTTGTCTCAAAAAAAGAACATTTTGATGTGTGTGTGGAAAGTGGTTTTTTGTTGTTGTTGTTAAACAAATGAAAAAAGCATTTTTCACCCTGTCATATGGGGAAGACCTGTTTTAAGAGTTAACATTCCTAGCCTGCCATTCCCCAGATTATTTTCTTGTTCATCCTGCTTATAAAATTGCATTATCACTCAAAATATTTTTGAGATTGATAGACAGTAATGTATTCTTGTTGAAGTTAGTTGACTGTCAGAAGTGTAAGAATGTACAAAAAGACTCATTTCTAAAAATACTGGGGTACTTTATCTTTTTTCTTCCCCATGTTTAAAATCGGCTTTTAACATCTCAGTTAACTTTGATCTTGTTTGATAGAAACATTAGGTGGATAAAATAGAAGAATTCTCAATAAACGATAGTGTAGTGTAACAGTTTGACTCTGGAACTTTAATAACTATTAGATTATTGTTTATTTTCATGGTTCTGATTCACATATGAAACAAGAAATAGTTATAAGTGTGGCCTTACTGGCTAAATTGCCAGTGCTCTCCTTCTCTTACCCTTGCCTGCTTCCTTAACACATATAGTCCTTGACTGATCTCTGTTAACAGTCAGGCTTTGGTTTGAGGGCCTCAGTTTGTTGTCCTAGCAGGAAACTGACTGTCGTCATTTCTTCAGAACCTTTTCTGTCTTAGGGGTTTGAGTTTGGTCATTGTTCCTCTGACCTTTCTGTTTCTGCCCCTTCCCTTGAATTAATTTCATTTCAGGCAGGCCGTTTCCCTTGCACACATTGCTTCTCCTTGTTTTTTTTTTTTTTTTTTTTTTTTTTTTTTAAATAAATCACCTTTCCCTGACCCCGGCCACTACCAATGAAACAATATTGCAATGATGGCTAATAAACATGAGTAATTGGGGTACAGTGTGATATTTTCATATGTGTATATCATGTGTAATGATCAAATTAGTGTAATTACTGAATTACCTCAAGCATTTATCATTTGTGTTGGGAAAATTCAAAATCCCTTCTAGCTCTTTGAACATAAACAGTACATTATTGTTAAAATAAAAAACATGAGTCGTACTAGTGATATTAGATATAACCAAGAACTGGTGTCTTCAACAATCAAACACTGCAAAAACTAAGAATCCCTACCTTCTAGTAGCTATTCTTAAAACTGCTCTTTCTGAAGTGTTAGCATTAACATAAAATATTTTATTGAATTTTTTGTGGATAACTATAAGGGTTGTAAGTTTTCCTTCTTATTGTAAATGTGAATTAAAATTTTTCACCTAGGCCGGGCCCAGTGGCTCCGGCCTGTAATCCCAGCACTTTGGGAGGCCGAGGCGGGTGGATCATGAGGTCAAGAGATCGAGACCATCCTGGTCAACATGGTGAAACACCCCATCTCTACTAAAAATACAAAAAATTAGCTGGGCACGGTGGCGCGTGCCTGTAATCCCAGCTACTCAGGAGGCTGAGGCAGGAGAATTGCCTGATCCCAGGAGGCGGAGGTTGCGGTGAGCCGAGATCCCGCCATTGCACTCCAGCCTGGGTAACAAGAGCGAAACTCCGTCTCAAAAAAAACATTTTTTTTCACCTGCAATATAGATTTTACAGGTTTCTATGGAACTAGTATGATAGTTTTAAACCATAGGTAGTGTTTATCGATGGATAAAACACAATAGGAATTCCTAACCATTTTTAAATAGGCATTTAAAAAACTCGTGAATTAGGCTAGGTGTTGTGGTTCACACCTTTAATCCCAGGACTTTGGGAGGCCGAAGTGGGCGGATCATTTGAGGTTAGGGGTTCAAGACCAGCCTGGCCAACATGGTGAAACCCCGTCTCTACCAAAAATATAAAAATTAGCTGGGCGTGGTGGCAGATGCCTGTAATTGCAGCTACTCGGGAGGCTGAGGCTGGAGAATCACATGAACCTAGGAGGCAGAAGATGCAGTGAGCCAAGGTCGCGTGACTGTACTCCAGCGTGGGGAGTGAGACTCTGTCTCAAAATAAAATAAAAAAAGAAAACTTTTGACTTGGGGACTGTCTTTGCTGCTGTGTGGATTACAGTGTGATCGTTTTAATGTCATTTGAGTGTCAGCAAAATGACCCAGGCCACTTGTTCTCTATTTTAATCTCCTTCTGTGATTAAGATTAGACTTCCTTGGTCCCCTATGAGTACCAGAGGACATACTCTCATGGGACCTTAGTTTTAGATAATTGGCTATTTTGTTCTTCTAAGTGATTCCTTTTTAAAAACAACAACAACAACAAAACAACAAAAAACCTTAGTTGTCTGGATAATTTTAAGTAAGTATTATTTGTTGTTTGCCGTAAAGCATTTTATTCATGGAAATACAAAGCATGAAGTTGACCTCTGTTTCCTGCTATACCAAAAAATACAATTTTTTTCCTTGGTCCCCTATGAGTACCAGAGAACATACTCTCATGGGACCTTAGTTTTAGATAATTGGCTATTTTGTTCTTCTAAGTGATTGCTTTTTAAGAACAAACAACAACAACAACAACAACAAAACTTAGTTGTCTGGATAATTTTAAATAAGTATTATTTGTTGTTTGTTGTAAAACATTTTATTCAGGGAAATACAAAGCACGAAGTTGACCTCTTATTCCTGCCATACCAAAAGAGATAAATTTTTCCTTTGTTTTTATATTGCTTATTTATTCAAAAGCACAGCAAGGCCAGGCATGGTGGCTCATGCTTATAATCTCAGCACTTTGGGAGGCTGAGATGGGTGAATCACCTGAGGTCGGGACTTCGAGACCAGCCTGACCAACATGGTGAAACCCTGTCTCTATTAAAAAAAATAAAAAAAGAAAAAGCACAATGAAGGTATAGTTGTGAAGGGGGCAGAATATATTTCATAATGAATTCTTCATAAAGAATTGGAGTAATCTGACTACGTTTCCTTAGCAAATACTTTATTGAACAAGTTAATTTTACTGCAAAATAGTGTTTTCATTAAGGGGGGATTTATATACATTTTGATTTCTATGAATGTTCCTGATTGTGGGCAGTAGTCATAGCAGGGGAGAAGTTTATATTTTTTGAGATTGTCGTGTAGTTACAACTCATTGCTGCTTTGATCTCCTGGGTTCAAGTTCCTGCCTCAGCATCCCAAGTAGCTGGCACAACAGTTGCACCGCCACCACACCTGGCTAATTGTTTTTGTTTTTAAGAGATGAGGTCTCCCTATGTTGCCCAGGCTGGTTTCAAACTCCTAGGTGCAAGCCATCGTCCTGCCTTGGCCCCACAAAGTGCTGGAATTACAGATGTGAGCCACTGAGCCTGGCTGAAAAGATTTTTTAAGTATTTGATTTTTTAACTTGCTGTTTTCTTCTGAAAACAGTTTGATTCTGCTCAAAAGGAGGTTATAAACAGACTTTATTTTACATCAGCATCTTTAAAGCTTCTTGTTTCCCTACTTTTCATGATTGGAAGGAGGTAAATTTTAGTATATGGGACTAAAAAAAAAGATGACCAGAAGGTGTTCACCTGACCACTAACTACCCCCTCCAAAACCAAAAAATACTTCTTCAGGAAAGGGGGCTGTGGTGATTAATAGTGAATGAGGTTATATGTGCTTGACAGTTATCATAGGACAGCCATTTTATACATGTATATATAGATGTATTTTTTGTTTGATTTTTATGGGACAAAGAGATTTAGATTTGGGGAGAAATTTCTCTGACAGTAGGATATGGTTAAAACTCAGTACTATGTTTACTGCTCCTCTTTATCTGGTGTCAGTATCGCCCTGGGATTGAATTGAGTATATATCTGAAGTCTACTGGTGAGGAAAATGATTAGTTTAAATTCACTTGCTAGACTTCATTGAAAATAATTATAGAGAGTAGAGTAGCATGAAAAAAAATGCTTTTAAAAGTGTTTTGGGGAAATCAGAATACTCTATGATGTGCATAGCAAGTTTAAATATGTAAAATCTGAGAGAGAGATCCAAGATGCCTTATTTCTAGCAGCTCAGGATTGTAGCTCCCAGTGAAAGCGCAGAGAACGAGAGGATGCCACGCTTTCAGATGAAATTTTGTTGCTCACAGACCAGGAGATTCCCAGTGGAGGAGCCCCATGGGTCGCCAGCGTGACTCTTGTGGCCGGCGTGGTGGTTCTTGGTGCAGAGTAAACGGGACTGGCTCCCCTTTTTGGTTGACGTTTGGAGCTCTGGGAAGGCAGAGTTGCCTATTCAGCTGATTGAAAAAGGGACTCAAGAAGGAAGCCAGACCAGAGATTCCCGGGCAGAAAAGCACCATGAATCTTTTCTTTTCTTTTTTCTTTTTCTTTTTCTTTCTTTTTTTTTTTTTTTTTGAGACAGAATTTGGCTCTTGTTACCCAGGCTGGAGTGCAATGGCACGATCTTGGCTCATCACAACCTCTGCCTCCTGTGTTCAGGCAATTCTCCTGCCTCAGCCTCCTGAGTAGCTGGGATTACGGGCACGCGCCACCATGCCCAGCTAATTTTTTGTATTTTTAGTAGAGACGGGTTTCACCATGTTGACCAGGATGGTCTCGATCCCTTGACCTCGTGATCCACCTGCCTCGGCCTCCCACAGTGCTGGGATTACAGGCTTGAGCCACTGCACCTGGCCAAAGCACCACGAATCTTAATGCCGCTGTTTTAGCTGGCGCAGTGGGTTGCTCAGATTCCGGTGCTGGGAATCAACAAGTTGGACGTCCACTCAGAGACCTAATTTGAAAGTCCGTAATTACAAAGACGACAGGTGGATAAATTTACAACGATGGGAAGAAACCAGCGTTAAAAAGGCTGAGAATCCCCAACATCAGAATGCCTCTGCCTTTACAGGGGAATCACAGTTCCTCATCAACAAGGGAACAAGGCCTGATGGAGAACGAGTGCGTTCCATGAACAGATTTAGGCTTCAGAAGGTGGATAATAAGAAACTACTGTGAGTTAAAAAAGAACATGTTCTAGCCCAATGTAAAGAAACTAACAACCTTGAAAACAGGTTTGATGTAATCCTGTTTTCAAGGTTGGGAATAGACAATCTAGAGAGGAATATAAGTGAATCGATGAAACTGAAGAATACAATACGAGAACTCTGTGAAGTATGCACAGGTTTAACAGTCGAACTAAGCAGAAGAAAGGATATCAGAGGTTGAAGACCAACTTAATGAAATGAAATGAGAAGACAAGATTAGAGAAGAAAGAGTAAAAAGGAATGAGCAAAGTCTCCAAGAAATATGGGACTATGTGAAAAGACCTAATTTACGTTTGATAGGTATACCTGAATGTCATGAAGAGCATGAATCCAAGCTGGAAAATATTCTTCAGGATATTATTCAGGAAAACTTTCCTAACCTAGTAAGGTAGGACAGTACTCAACTCCAGGTAATACAGAGAACACCACAAAGATATTCCTCAAGTAGAGCAACCCCAAGACACATAATTGTTAGATTCACCAGGGTTGAAATAAAGGAGAAAACTCCAAGGGCAGCTAGAGAGAAAGGTCAGGTTACCCATAAAGGGAAGCCTATCAGACTCACAGCAGATCTCTGAGCTGAAACCCTACAAACTAGAAGAGAGTGGGGGCCAATATTCAATATCCTCAAAGAAAAGAATTTTCAGCCCAGAATCTCATATCCAGCCAAATTAAGCTTTGTAAATGAAGGAAGAATAAAACTTTTCACAAGCAAGCACTCAGAGATTTTTATCAACACCAGGCCTGCTTCACAAGAGCTTCTGAAAGAAGCACTATACACAGAAAGGAACAACCAGTGTCAGTCATCCCAAAAACTTACCAAAAGGTAAAGAGTATCTCCATAATGAAGAATCTATATGCACTAATGGGCAAAATAGCCAGCTAGCATTAAATGACAATATTGAAACTTAGAAATATCGATATTAATCCTAAATTTAAATGGATTAAATGCCCCAATCAAAGACACAGACCGGCAAATTGAATAAAAAGTCAAAACCCATCGGTTCGCTGTATCCAGATCCATCTCTTAAGCAAGGACACACAAAGACTCAAAGGATTGGTGGAAGACTTACCACTCAGATGGAGAGCCAAAAAAACCCCCCAAAAAACAGGAGTTGTAACTTTCGTCTCTGACAAAATAGACTTCAGTAGTAACAAAGACTAGAAGAAACAAAGAAGGAAGGACGTTACATAATGGTAAAAGGATCAATGCAACAACAGGAGTCAGTGATCATAAATATATATGCACCCAATACATAAGATAAGTTCTTAATGACTTATAGAGAGACTTGGACTCCTGCATAATAAAAGCGGGAGACTTTGACACCACATTGTTAATATTCGGTGGATCAACGGGATAGAAAATTAACAGGGACATCTATGATTTGAACTCAGACCTGGAACAAGTAAACTCGGTGAATATTTATAGAATTCTTCACCCCAGGTCCACAGAACATACATTTTTCTCAGTATCACATTACACCTATTTTGAAAGTGACCACATAATTGGAAGTAAATCACTCTTCAGCATTTGCATAGCATTTCACAGACTTAAATGAAATATTGGTTGGCTGTTTGTTATTTTCTTCCCTTATTCCTTCCTGTCTCCACTGTTAAGCACAATTATCGGCATAAAAGAGGTTTTTAACACCTATTTTTAGATTGTATTCCAGCCTGGGCAATACAGCAAGACTCCTGTTCTCTCTCCCCCTTTCTTTTTCTTTCTTAAGAAAAGAAAGAAAGAAAGAAAGATAGAAGGGGTGTCAAAATCGGTAAAGAGGAAGTCAAACTGTCACTTTTTGTTGGTGATATTATTATATATCTAGAAAACCCTAAAGACTCCTCCAAAAAAAGAAAACAAAACAAAAAATAAGACAAAACAGGAAAGCATGACCATGCTATTAAGATGATGACTTTCATTCCAGCTAAAAGTCAATTCATTCTCCCACCCCCTTTCCTTTTTCAAACAAGTCTGAGGATTTCACCTTCTTTCCTTTCCGCTATTCAGCTCCTTCCACCCACTCCATAAAAAGAAAAAAAAATTATGTAAAATCTGTAGATGCCCAGAAAAAATTGGAAAGGAATGCTCAACCTGTGGTTATAGTAGTGGAGGGATGGTTAATATTTTTCTAACCTTTTAATTTTGTGTTTTTGTGAAAATAAAAGAAGTGCTAGAGAAAAAGCACTAGAAATACATTTTTAATTATTGATGTTTATAATAATTCTGAGTAGTAGGAAATATGTAGATTTGTTTTTCATGTTCAAGAGATTGTATCTTTATATTATTTCTCTTATGTTCAACAGATTTCCAGCAAGCTCTCTATGAATTGTCATATCATGTAATTAAAGGAAATCTAAAGCATGAACAGGCATCTAATGTTCTTAATGACATTAGTGTAAGTATATAATACATATATTTTAAGATTTGTTATGTATCTTTTTGCTTTGACACAAAGATCCCTGAAGTGCATAGCTTTTATTTTATTCAAAATTACAGTAGTAGATGGATTTTTTGTTTTTTTGGTAGATGGACTTTTACATTTTTTCTTTTTTTTTTTTTTTTTTTCCCCTCGAAACTATGGAAGGGAGAAGCGGATGTTTTAAGGTAATATTGGTAAGCCATTTCTGCCAGAGAGGAAGGAATGCAGATAGTTTACTCTCTTTATGTGGTTGTTAGTAAAGTAGGAAATATCAGGTAAGCTGGCAGGGAAAAAAAAAAAAGCCTCTGCTTTAATCAAATTAAGGTATCTTTAATTAAAAACGCTACTCTAAAAAAGTAATTTGGCTAAAATATTTTTCTCCCAATACAGTATAATAAGCCATTTTTTTTGTTTGTAGTTATGTTTAGAAATTAAATATATTTTAAAAATTGAGGATTAAATTATTTTAAATTGTGGTTGCTTGACTCTAAGATTCAGTTGGTGCTAGTTTTCATCTTCTTATGGTTTAAAAAATATTAACTAGATTAAAAAAAAGCTTACATGGTTATTGTTTTTTACTCTTTCATTTATTGGAGAATTTAAGTTAGATTCACACCAAATATTCTTCATAGTGGTGTTTGGCTTTTCAACTGGAAGATGGGCTTTCAAATTTTAAACCAGCAGTTAAGCTTGAGATTTTTACGAGTGGTGTGCTGTTCTTTTATGCTTGTTTTTAAACTTGTATATAAATAAAATTATCTTGTGTGTGTGTGTATGTGTGTGTGTGTGTGTGTGTGTGTGTGTGTGTGTATCCATATATAATGATCTTGTATATAAACAGAATTCAGAATAGCTTTTGTAATAGGTTTTATTAAGGTGTGGGACCTGAAGCTTCTTGGTCTCAGTCTGAGCTTCTCTCACTGCGTTTCTTTAATTTTCCGTAGCCTTTTTTTCCCTTTTAGGGGAGGTAATATTTGTATTTTGTTTTGTTTTGTTTTGTTTTGTGCTTTCCCAGGGATAGTCTTAAGGAAATTGTAAGTTTAACTGTTGTGATTTTACACCCCATATTGGGGTGTATTTGAGCAGTAGGAATTCAATGAGTTTCACTTTTGTCTCTAAATTGTCTCCAGATGATAACAACAGCATTAGTTCATGTGGGAGTAGGTCTATTTCCTTTTTTTAACATTAAAAATATTCAGTTGCTACCAGTCTTTCTTAACTAATATTTTGTGTTTGAAAACTCTTGTCTTACTCTATTTCTGATCTTCAGGTAGCCTGAGTACTTGTATTTAAATAGACGTAACCAGATTTCTTAAGAAATTTGAGGCTACAATCTGATTGACAAGGTTATTTCATTTTGTAAATTGAGCATTGGTATAAGTTTTAGTTTGTTTATGGGATGTGATTCTAATCCTCTTTTTGTTTATTGAAAATGAATAATTCAAGTCCATTTTATGTATGTGTATTTCATTCTTACATAACTTCTTCTTTCTTTTGAGTACTTAATGATGTCTTTATAGATACTTTTGCTGCTTGATTGTCTTTGTCATGGCTTTCTCTTAGGACTATACATTGTCCGTCGCCACAGAAGAGTGTCTTATGTGTCTCCTTGCAGCTGCCAGATTTTTCTTCAGAATTTCTTTTAGTCTCTGAAAATAGGCTAATTTTAGTGTTGCTGTACTGCCAGCAGACTATTAATTGCAACAAATGAATCGTGATCCTTACTAATGGAGAACAGTCCTAAAATTGAGTGTGGGAGTGGAAAGTCAAGAGACAAGTCTAGAATAATGCTGAAATTCTTATTCAGAGATGGGAGGATTTTGGGTCATTTTCTTTTTGTTCCCCCCAAGACGGAGACTTGCTCTGTCACCCAGGCTGGAGTGCAGGGGTGCAATCTCGGCTCACTGCACTCTCTGCCTCCTGGGTTCAAGGAATTCTCTTGCCTCAGCCTCCCAAGTACCTGGGATTACAGGCACGCACCACCACACCTGGCTAATTTTTGTATTCTTAGTAGAGACAGGGTTTCACCATGTTGGCCAGGCTGGTCTTGAACTCTTGAGCTTGTGATCCAGCCACCCTGGCCTCCCAAAGTTCTGGGATTACAGGTGTGACCCACCGCGCCAGCCCAGTTTTGGGTCATTATCTCCAAAGGCTACAACAAGAGTGAGTAAAAAAAATAAAGAGAATATTGAGCTCCAAAAAAGGTGGGGGCGAGGGAGGAGGAGGGCTAAGGATTAAAAAAAAAAAAAACTACCTATTGAGTACTGTGTTCACTGTTTGGATGATGGATTCAATAGAAACCCAGACCCCAGCATTACAGAATATATTTACGTAACCTGTATATATATCTCCTGAAACTAAAAAATAACCCCCAAAACTAGCCTTTAGCTTTTTAGCTGGTTTCATATTTTCAAGATTTCTGTTTCTCTCATACCATTATGATTTTTGCATATCAGCGTTTAAAGTCTTCAATGAAGAGTACGCCATTTTTTAAAATTTATTTTTAACTTTTAAAATGTATATTATTATTATCATTATTATTATTTTTCTTTGAGATGGAGTTTCACTCTTGTTACCCAGGCTGGGGTACAATGGTGTGATCTTGGCTCACCGCAACCTCCGCCTCCTGGGTTCAGGCAATTCTCCTGCCTCAGCCTCCTGAGTAGCTGGGATTACAGGAAGATGCCACGGGCCCAGCTAACTTTTTGTATTTTTAGTAGAGACGGGGTTTCACCATGTTGACCAGGATGGTCTCGATCAGTTGACCTCGTGATCCACCCGCCTCGGCCTCCCAAAGTGCTGGGATTACAGGCTTGAATAACCGTGCCCGGCTATATTATTATTTTTTTTAAGAGATGGGGTTTCAGCATGTTGGTCAGGCTGGTGTCTAACTCCTGACCTGGTGATCCCCCTGCCGTGGCCTCTCAAAGTGCTGGGATTACAGGCGTGAGCCACTGTGCCCGGCCAGAATGTACCATATTTAGCAGTCTTCTTTTTAGTTAGGTGTGAGGTACTCTAAATTCCAGTAATTTCTAAAATGAAACTTCACTGGAACAATGTTACTCATTTGTGCTCTTTAGTATTTCCTAAAGTGTTTAGGTTTCTTTTGTTTTCAAATTATTTCATTGTAGACAGTTAAACATTTTTCCTAAACATTATCTTCCTCTTTATATTTCCTCTGTATTAGGAGAGTTAACATGAAGAATTTTAATATTGGTCAATATAATGATGGGGTTTCTGTTAGTTTTCTAAAAAGAAATTTTTCTGCCCTTCTGCAAATCAATTTTTTTCTTTTTTGACGGTTTGCTATGTTGCCCAGGGTGGAGTGCAGTGTTGCGATCTTGGCTCACTGCAGCTTCCACCTCCTGGACTCAAACAATCCTCCCACCTCAGCCTCCTGAGTAGCTGGGACCTCAGGCATGTGTCACCATACCTGGCTAATTTTTTTTTTTTCAGAGACAGTGTTTCACCAGGTGATCCAGGCTGGTCTCAAACTCTTGGGCTCAAGTCAGCTGCCCACCTGGGCCTCCTAAAGTGCTGAGATTACAGGTGTGAGCTACTGCTGCCAGCCAGTTTTTGTTTTTAGGTTTCACAGAAGAATGTTATTCTGAAACCCTAATACTTGCTGTGTGCTTTTCTGGTATTTACTGTTATTATATTTTTAAAATTAGGAATTTCGTGAGGATATGCCCTCCATTCTTGCTGATGTATTCTGCATATTAGGTGGGTATTAAGCCTTTATTTTACCTGTAATGTGTTGTTTGTTAAATTAATGTACTGTGTTAAGTGAGGTGTTTTACTCTAAGAATTTTACAAATGTTTCTGCGAATGTAGAAGTAAATTGATTCTTTATAGAGAACATAGTAATGTAAGTCAAATTTTATAATCAATGTTATAAAAAAGCTTTAGAAGTATAATTCAAATTGAGTTTTTGACAATGTTGATTTGTATAAATTTGAGCTAAATTAAGTCATTTAAAAGGCCACGTTTTCTGATATTTTAGTATCCAAATAATCTTTTTTTTTTTTTTTTTTTTTTTTTCGACGGAGTGTCACTCTTGTTACCCAAGCTGAAGTGCAATGGTGCGATCTTGGTTCACCGCAACCTCCGCCTCCTGGGTTCAGGCAGTTCTCCTGCCTCAGCCTCCCGAGCAGCTGGGATTACAGGCACACGCCACCATGCCCAGCAAATTTTTTGTATCTTTAGTAGAGACGGGGTTTCACCATTTTGACCAGGATGGCCTCGATCTCATGACGTTGTTGATCCACCCGCCTCGGCCCCCCACAGTGCTGGGATTACAGGCTTGAGCCACCGCACCCGGCCATAACCAAATCATCTTATTCGATGTAGGTTTTTAATGAATGTTGTCAGAATCGCAGACTTAGGACATTCAAGAAATACTTTGCTATTGCACTCTTTGGCTCTTCTTGCTGATTTTAGAAACAGCAAGAAGAGCCAGAGTTAGCAACTTTTTAGTTTTTGCAGAGTAAATAAGGATTCATGTAAGATTAAAAAGGAATGTTTCCTTGACTTAGAAATGTAGTGTCCCATGGCATGGATTTCAAAAATGTTTATTATAATTTTTTTTCTCTAATTTTAGATGTAGATGAAAATAACCGAGCACAGTTTTCCCCATCAGTCAGTTCTGTGCTTTCGTTTATGTTCTTCTCTTTTTTGAGATATGGTCTTGTTCTTTTGACCAGGCTGGACTGCAGTGGTGTGATCTTGGCTCACTGTAGCCTCGACTTACTGGGCTCAAGTGATGCTGCTACCACACCCACCACACCCATCTGATTTTTTTGTTTGTTTGTTTGTTTTGGTAGAGATTGGGTTTCACCATGTTGCCCAGGCTTGTCCGGAGCTCCTGGGCCCAAACAATCTGTCCACCTCAGGCTTCTAAAGTGCTGAGATTATAGGCATGAGCCACTGCACTAGGTCCAGTCTTGTGCTTTTTGTAACTTTGAGTTGAATAGAAGACATACCCAGACATTATCATATTCATTTTATTTATTTAGATCATTTTTAGAGGCAGGGTCTCGCTGTGTTGCCCAGGTTGGTCTTGAATGCCTGGCCTCAAATGATCCTCCCACCTCGGTCTTCCAAAGTGCTGGGATTACAGGTGTGAGCCACTGTACCCGGCCAGTAGTCCCTTTAAAATAAGACATCCTCTGAGGGTTTATGAACCTGGAGTGAATTGTTTTAGCGCATTAATCTTAGTTCTTAGAATTAGATAAATTACTTAAATGTCTTACTGACAATTTAGAATTTGGTCTTGACAAATATAGATGCTGGTGCTTGATCCTTCAGGAAGTTTCCAATTTCATAAGTTCCCAGTAATGTTGGGAGGAGGTCAAAATGTATGTGGACTGGGAGTGATAAATGAAAAGAGGAGACCATTGATGAGATTGACCACATGTCCCAGTTTTGTTTTGTTTTCACTGGCTAATTATTAAAAGTACCCTGTTTTACTTTCAGAACTATCTTGGTTGGATGATAAAAATATATGCTATGTGTTGGATTGATTGATTTAAGGCAACCAGAAAACCTTTTAAGCTAAAATTTTTAGTCAGGCACTAAAGATATTACCTTGTTTTTGGGCAAGTAAAGATAACCCGAAACAAATTACAATTAAAAAAAACTTTTACTATAAATTTATAAGGCTGTAAGACTGATTTGTAGGTAACATTTTGTGGAAGCTATTGTTCCTTGTTCGTATAAGGAGTATATCTTTCTTTGGGTAATCATCAATTAACAGCTTAATTGGTGCAAGTAATTTCTTTATTGACTTATTAGGTTGTATTTTCCCTTCATAGTTATTTAGCAATATGAATGATTGTTAAATTCATTGCCTTTTACTAGTAACATGATTCATGAAGATGATGCTTGGTTGCTCTTGGGAAATTTCTCTTACCTATTCAGTTCTTTTTTTTTTTTTTTTTTTTTTTTTGAGATGGAGTCCTTGCTCTGTTGCCCAGGCTGAGTGCAGTGGTGCAATCTTGGCTCACTGCCACCTCGGCTTCCCGGGTTCAGGCGATTCTGCTGTCTTAGCCTCCCAAGTAGCTGGGATTACAGGCATGCACCACCATGCCTAGCTAATTTTTTGTGTTTTTAGTAGAGATGGGGTTTCACCATGTTGGCCAGGCTGGTCTGGAACTCCTGACCTCAAGTGATCCACCCACCTTGGCCTTCTAAAGTGCTGGGATTACAGGCGAGAGCCACTGTGCCCAGCCTATCCAGTCCATTTTGACAAGCAAGATTTTGACAGCAAACTTGGAAAGAGGATTTCCCTCACCTGCCCCCTCACTCACCCACCCTCACCCTTGTCAGAGAAAAGGTGATTCAAGGGTGACCCCAGATCAAGGCTGTGGAATAGGACTAAGAATATGAGCTACCTCTAATAATGAAGCTGATGATGACAATAATTATGATAATAGTAACAATGTATAAGTTCAGCTTTTAGAGTAGCTTCCATGTTCTAGGCGTTGTGTTAAGCATTTAGTTTTTATTTTAATCCTTACATTAACTACTGTAAAGGTGGTAGGTGTTCAGATCAGAAAAATGAGGTTCAGTGAAGCGGTGATTTTTTTAAGGCCATGCAGGCCAGTAAGGCAGAATTTGAACCTGTGTCCCTTTGGCTCCACAGTCTGTGATCTTTTTGTTGTATCATGTTGTCTTTTTAAATGTTAACAGTTACAAGGGAAGTTAGTGCTACACTTTCTTTTTTTTTTTTTGAGGCGGAGTTTCGCTCTTGTTACCCAGGCTGGAGTGCAACGGCGCGATCTCGGCTCACCGCAACCTCCGCCTCCTGGGTTCAAGCAATTCTCCTGCCTCAGCCTCCTGAGTAGCTAGGATTATAGGCATGCGCCACCATGCCCAGCTAATTTTTTCTATTTTTAGTACAGACAGGGTTTCACCATGTTGACCAGGATGGTCTCGATCTCTTGACCTCGTGATCCACCCGCCTCGGCCTCCCAAAGTGCTGGGATTACAGGCTTGAGCCACCACGCCCGGCCAGTGCTACACTTTCGAGGTTAAGAGAGCATTTTTTTTTTTTTTTTTTCCTGAGACAGAGTTTCACTCTGCTTGCCCAGGCTGGAGTGAAATGATGTGATCTTGGCTCACTGCAACCTCTGCCTCCCAGGTTCAAGTGATTCTCCTGCCTCAGCCTCCCAATTAGCTGGGATTACAGGGGTGTGCCACCATGCCCAGCTAATTTTTTCTGTTTAATAGAGACGGTGTTTCGCCGTCTTGGCCAGGCTGGTCTCGAACTCCTAACCTCAGGTGATCTGCCTGCCTCGGCCTCCCAAAGTGCTGGGATTACAGGCATGAGCTGCTAAGCCCAGCAGGTAGCAACTTTCTTTAACAGGCTAATCATATGAAGGTGAGGGGGCATGAGAGCTATGGAAAGGGTGAGTGTGATGTAAGTTGATATGCTGCTGTGCTGAGGGACCTCTAGGCCGGGGTAGGTAATTGGTGATACTGGGAACTAGAGCGGGAAATAGCTGAGGGCTTTTTATTAAAATGTTTGGGAAAATTAAAGAGAATTTGAGGTAGAGGAGTCAGAAATAAACGAGTTTATTAGAATGCCGTTATGAGTTTGAAACAAAAGAATAAAGAAACCGGGGAAAGTACGGTTGGGATAAAAGAGTCCTGAACTGATTGTTGAGATAGCTCATCTAAGAAATTTACTGAGACCCTAATTCAGCATTTCCTAACATGGTCAGAACCCAAGAGAACGGTTAGATATTTAAGTAATTTATTCAATTCTAAGAATTAAGATTAATGAGCTGGGCCAGGTGAGGTGGCTCATGCCATAATCCCAGCACTTTGGGAGGCTGAGGTGGGTGGATCAAGACCATCCTGGACAACATGGTGAAACCCCATCTCTATAAAAAAAATTAAAAACAAAAGATTAATGAGCTAAAAGAATTCATTCCAAGTTCACAAACCCTCAGAGGATAAGTGTCTTAATCAGGTTAGATGGCTGAGTGGAGAGAGACTTGACTTGAAGAGGATGACTCTGCCATCCGGTGCCCTGATCTTAGAGACCTTGAGGGGAAGATCTTAAGGTCTTTAGTGCCCTGGAGTATAGATAGATGTTGGGTAAAAGGATGAGCCCAGTTTAACCCCAATCCCTTAGAAATCAGCATCCTTAAGAGTTCTAGACTGAGGAGGGACCAGAAAGCCAGATAACAAGGCAACAGTTGGGGATCCCTGAAAAGGATTGGTGAGCTACACATTAATTAAAAGTCTTAATGAGAAATTGAGATTGTACTGTAATTTACATTGCATAAATTACACCCTAAAATTTTGTTAATAAACTTGAACTGACTGTGTGTATAGCTACAGGGGCCAGGATATGTGGAAATGGCAACTGTCCAAGAAGGGAAAGTGAAGAGGGCCAGGAATAATGTGGATATGATTGATGAAAAATCCCCTTCTTTTTGGATTCTCAGTGTTGGCAGTAGAATATGTAGAGGCCAATTTTTATTAGTTTACTAAAACCAGTGCTGCTCTTTATAGCACATTCTAAATTATAATTTGACTTTAAAATTAGGATAATAGTATGTAGTCAGTTAAAGCAGTAATCCTGAGATCAGCTTTGTTTGCAATCCTGCCAATACTGGTTGAAATTTTTGGTGCTTGGCATTTGACACTAATTGTTTTCTTTCTTCCACACTTAAGAACATTTTTTGACAAATTTTCTGAATAACTTAATAAAACTCACGGTCTCAGTTTTTAAATATTTCAGTAGGAAGGTACAATTTTGAATAATTTTTATTTACTGACTAGAATTATAATTCAAGATAAGATGCTAAATTGTTTTTCGGAGACACAGTCTTACTCTGTCACCCAGACTGGAGTGCAGTGGCATGATCTTGGCTCACTGCAACCTCCACCTCCCAGGTTCAAGTGATTTTTCCGGCCTCAGCCTCCCTAGCACCTGCAATTATAGTTGTGCACCACCACGCCCAGCTGATTTTAGAATTTTTAGTAGAGAAGGGATTTCACCATGTTGTGCAGGCTAGTCTTGACCTCAGGCGATCCATCTGCGTTGGCTTCCCAAAGTGCCGGGATTACAGGCATGAGCCACTGCACTCGGCCAAAAATATTTCTAAATACTGCCTTTTCATAAGGTTGGTGGCCAGGTAGCCTGGTTAGAACGTAGTAATTGGACCAGGGTGGCGAAAGTCATGGGTTTGATCTTGAATATTAGAATCTTTAGAGTTAGAAGAAATTTTTGCCATAACCCTGCTTAACTTTCCACCTTAAAGAATCTTTTTTTTTTTTTTTTTTTTAGCATCTCTGACAATTGGTCATTTAAACTTTGTTTCAATGTTTCATTTTTTTGCAAACAATATTTTTTTTGAATGTTTGTTGCTTCCAGCTCCGTAACATGTAGCTCCAGTGTAATTGATAGACTGTTTTTGGCTATATCATAGGTCACAGGGTCAATCTCCAGTTTTAGGAGAAATTAAAGCATTCATATACACATGAAGGGCATCTCATGTTACCATAGTTTTGAATTTTTCCAAATTTAGATTGAGGTATTTTTAAATTAGTTTTAAGGAAAGTAGATTGAGGTATTTTAAAATTAGTTTTAAGGAAACTAAATATCTTTCTTTAGTGCTGGGGAGTCCAGAAACATCAAACTTTTGTCTTCTTTATCATTCTAGATATTGAAACAAATTGTTTAGAAGAAAAGAGCAAGAGAGACTGTTTTACCCAGTTGGTATTAGCATGTTTGGTAGGTTTTAAAAAATATTCTTCCCTTTTAAAAATCTGCATTTAACGATTGTAATAGAAGTTAATCATGTTAATGGTGGAGGATATTGACAGTCAGTTGGCTTTTCTCATTATAAGGTGAAATTTGGGTTTTGAAATGGAGTGTTTTGTGAAATTCGACATGCTGTTTCTATGAAATTAGCATGTAACCATATCCATATCACTTAAACTATACATTCAAAACTGGTGATTTTCCTGACCTAGTAAGTTCCTAAGAAAACGGTTAGCATTTATAAAGTAAGTAGAAATGATTGTAGACAGCTTTTAAATGGATTTTTCCCCTCATAACCTGTTAAGGAGAAAAAGAGCAGAGGTAGTTTAAAAATGGTAAATTCGAGACCTTGTCATAATTGTTATCTAGTAAACCATTTTGTGTTCACAAATTTAGAAGCAGGGAAAACTACCATGGCTGAGGCCTGGAAGAAGGTGCTTGTCTTTGCTACACTAGCATTAAAGTAGGAGGCTATAAAGTGCTGTGTTAGGTGAAAATCCAGTTAAGCCAAATGTAATCTGACTGAAAATTTCATCTGTAGTTCTTGTCATTTATAGGTAGTATACAACATGGATATAATTTTGTAGTGAATTTTTTGAAAGCTGTTTATTAAATATTTCAATATTTGGAGTCATGTTTACTAAACTTGCAAGCCTTTTTATAAATTGTAGGTTGTTCTATAGAGAATGTGATTTTTGTATTCTTATTTAGGAAGCTTTAGTTTGAATATATTTAAGGTTGTGGATGCAATGCTAAGGAATAAATGAACTTTAATGTTTTTTAATCCAGCATTTAGTTTCAGCCACAGTCCTGAAGGAACGCCTGGATCCAGAAACACTGGAATCATTAGGGCTTATCAAACAATCACAGCAGTTCCATCAAAAGACAGTTAAAATCAAGACAAAACTCTTGTAAGTAAATGTATCTTACAGTGCAGATCAAGTAGCTGAGTATGTTTTTTTGTTCATGTTTTGAATGCTAGTAGCTTCTTTGAAGATTATTTTTTTTGTTTGTGATTAGCATATATCTTGTGTTTTTTGCCTTCTAAAAGTAGCCTAATATTTTTGAGTCATCAGTGACCTTTACCTGTGTAAAACCAGTGCTACTTTTGTCCATATTCAAAGTTAAAATCATACTCATGCTATCATCATTAGCAATAAAATAATTTATGACTGGCTGTACTTGGGGTATATTCTTAGTCAGAGATGGAAATAGTGGTAAGTTATCATTCCCTTATATTAACAATATCCTTCTCTTGTCTTACTTGTTTTCCCCGTGTAATTAACATTGGGGTTCTCATATGAAGCACTGTTATTTTTTACTCTAAAAGGTACACAAAGAGGTAAACTTACAAAAACTAATATTATGATTGTTGTAGGTTGGAGATAAGAAAATTCGATGAGAATACAGTACTCTGCGGAAGCTTGTTAATTGAAATTAATTTTATCCCCTTAATGGTATTTTATCTGATTTCAGTTATAAGCAGCAGAAATTCAATTTGTTAAGAGAAGAGAATGAAGGTTATGCCAAGCTGATTGCTGAATTGGGGCAAGATTTATCTGGAAGCATTACTAGTGATTTAATGTTAGAAAATATCAAATCTTTAATAGGTAAGATATACATCTGTACAGTATGTGTTGTTAAGATAACCAGTTGTTTTAACTGTTGGCGAATATCCATAAAGACAAAATGAGTGCATTCCGTATACTTTTTTTCTTTTCACTTAAGGAATGGGAGAGGTGTTTAGATTTTACTTTTAATGTTTTATCAGTAATTATAAAATTTAGCGTGATATTTGTGAGAAATCTTTTAGTCACTATTACTTGTGTGTTAATATTAGGTCCTGCTCTGTCTAATCTTTCTTTTGTTGGGGAGGGGATCCTGAGTGGTAAACCAGTGCTTTCAAAAGAGAATGGATGACAAAGAACAGGATGGACTGTTCTGATACAGAATGAATGCCCTATGTTTCTTTAGTATTTCTATTTCTAATTTTTAAGTATTTCTCTATCCTTTATGGAGGACCGAAAAGCAAACATGAAAACTTTAATACAGTAAATCTTCAGTGAACTCTTGAAACCTACAGATGTGTAATTTTGAACTTGATTTTCAAAATAACTTTATTGGGGACTTTGATACATATTTGACTTTATCTTTGTAATAGCCTTTTAAAGTCAGTGCAACAGCGATTGCAAACGTGTAACACATAGCAAAGTTTTATTCTCTCTACCCTTTAAGTAGAATTTCTGTAGCACTACGTTTTTCTTTTCATTTGCATTGATTGTTTGGAGGAAGTAGTTGACTTCTATAGAAAAGATGAATGAGTAGTAGAAAAATAGGGTAATCCAGATTTTCCTAAGGTGGAAAGAGCCTTTTCAAGTATTTGCTAGGTGTTGCACTGTCTTAGGGAAGATTTTGCACCACCTGCCAGAGGAGTCATATTTTGTGCCTCACTTGTTATATCTTTGGGGTGCTTATCCTCAGCTTCCTGGTTCTTTCTGTTTTTTAGAGTTTATATATGACTAAGAAAGCGGGAGAAGGCATCCCAATCCTTATTTCCTTCTTCTAGTGCTTTGTGTAGGAATCCAAATAAAACTGTATTTACTATAATCACCCTTGTTCTTACCAACAAGTAAGTACCTTTTAGTTCATGTTTTAAATTTTTATCTTTATTTTTAAGAGATGGTGTCTCATTATGTCTAGGCTAGTCTTGAACTCATGGGCTCAAGTGATCCTCCTGCCTTGGCCGCCCAAAGTACTGGGATTAAAGGTGTGAGCCACTGTGCCTGACCAAATAGTAGCTTCTAGTTTAAATTTACGCTTTTCTTTGAAGTTTATCTAGTTCCAGCAGCGGATCTTAGTTTCGTTGCTGTTTCTTCCAGTTTTCAATTTAACATCAAGATGGGCAGCCGCCCCATAGGGCTGTGGGACTCTTGCTTACCTGTGTGGCAGTAACCCGTTTTTAAAAACCTTCCTGCGGTGGTCCCTTTCTGTTCGTTTGTTCTTTATTTCCTTCTTTTATTTTTCTTTCTGTGCTTTCTTTTCCTTCCTTCCTTCCTTCCTTTCTTCCTTCCTTCCTTCCTTCCTTCCTTCCTTCCTTCCTTCCTTCCTTCCTTCCTTCCTTCCTTCCTTCCTTCCTTCCTCCTTCCTTCCTTCCTTCCTTCCTTCCTTCCTTCCTTCCTTCCTTCCTTCCTTCATTCTTCCTTCTTTCTTCCTTCTTTCTTTCTTTCTTTCTTTCTTTCTTTCTTTCTTTCTTTCTTTCTTTCTTTCTTTCTTTCTTTCTTTCGATGGAGTCTCACTTTGTCGCCAGGTTGGAGTGCAGTGGTGCAATCTCAGCTCACTGCAACCTCTGCTTCCTGGGTTCAAGCAGTTCTCCTGCCTCATCCTCCTGAGTAGTTGGGACTCGAGGAGCCTGCCATCACACACCGCTAATTTTTATATTTTTAGAAGAGACAGGGTTTCACCATGTTGGCCAGGTTGGTTATGAACTTCTGACCTCAGGTGATCTGTCCACCTTGGCCTCCCAGAGTGCTGGGATTGCAGGCATGAGCCCCTGCACCCTGCCCCTTTCTGTTCTTTCTAGGGTAGGCGCCGGACTCTCCTGAAGTGTTTTCTGATCTAGCTTGAGAAGCTTGTCAGTACTGCTTTGCTGTAAGTTTGACTTTCCCATCATGTACTTAAGATAGCATTCCCCACATAAAAATTCTGTGCTTTGCAAGATCCTTAGACTTTTCTTTTTTTTTTTCCTTTTTTTACTTTAGATCCTTTTTTGTTGACATCTGTTTCTTCTTCTGTTTCTTGTGAGTTTATACCTTTTTATTCCTTTGTTAGTTGGGGAATATTTCAAAGGGATTTTCTTGACAGTGTGCTTTTATCGTACTAGGTAATGTACACTTCTTAGTGTTCTTCAACTTTGCTCTTGGGAGTATAGGCTGCGATCCTGTTTCTGATGAACAGTGTAACAAACACAACTGCAAGTTCATGAGGCGTATGGACAGTCCATGAGTATAAACAATTTGATTTATTGGTCTAAACCTATTTTCTGACCCACTAAGTAGCACTCACATGTCACCTTGTTAGTGAAGCCTTCCCTGCCCACCCCTGTCAAAATTCCCTACTATTCCCTGATTATTTTTCATTTTTTGCATGTATCACCATATAATATACTCTGTACCTCCTCCCTCTCCGCCTGCATCTAAGCGTTTAGGACTGGGGTTTTGTTAAGTACCTCATCCTTAATACTTGGTATGTGGGTGATAAATAAATACTCGGTTAAAAGGAATGAATATTTACTCTATTCTTGCTTAGTCTATACTGACTCTTCACATTTTTTTTTCCTGACATGGAGAATTATAGAAAGTTCATCTCTCCGTCTCAATGTTTATTTATCCCTGGCTAGATGATTTCCTCCTGCCCAATTGTCTGATACATTAACTTTTTTTTTCTTGACACAGAGTCTTGCTTCGTCGCCCAGGCTGGAGTGCAGTGGCATGATATTGGCTCTCCGCACCTCTGCCTCCCAAGTTCAAATGATTCTCATGCCTCAGCCTCCTGAGTAGCTGGAATTAAATAGAGGCACGTGCCACCATGTCCAGCCAATTTTTCTTTTTTATGTTTTTAGTAGAGATGGGGTTTCACTAAGTTGGCTGGGCTGGTCTTGAAGTCCTGGCCTCAAGTCATCTGCCTGCCTCAGCCTCCCAAAGTGCTGGGATTTATAGGTGTGAGCCCCTGCACCCAGCCTGAATGAAACTCTTTTCATTGATGTGAAAATAAGAGGTTGAAACTTCAATTCCAGTGAGTATTCTTTCAGTGTTCTTAGCATTTATTGGATTCCCTCTTAGTGCAGACTTCATCCAGGCCTTGTCTCATCTGTCCAGAACAGCTTACTGACCAGCAACCTGTATTTCTTGGCCTCTTTGGATGGGTTTCTCTGTATTTATTCCCATTGTTTTCTGTTTAGGAACAGTCTAGACAGGTAATACCTTCTTCGCCAGCCTGTGTTAGAAACCGATACCTAGTTTGGGCGGTACCTAGGTTGGTGCATGTACATTCAGGGTACTTGGTCTGACCGGGATAGATCCTTACTTATCATCCTTTAGTTAAAAGGCAGTTTTTTGGCTGGATGCGGTGGCTCAAGCCTGCAATCTCAGCACTTTGGGTGGCCCAGGAGGGCAGATCACCTGAAGGTCGGTAGTTCGAGACCAGCCAGGCCAACATGGTGAAACCCCGACTCTGCTGAAACCACAAAAATCAGTTGGGCACAGTGGCACGTGCCTGTAATCCCAGCTACTCTGAAGGCTTGGGCAGGAGAATTACTGGAACCCAGGAAACGGAGGTTGCAGTGAACTGAGATCACGCCACTGGACTCCAGCCTGGGTGACAGACTGAGACACTGTCAAGAAAAAAAAAAAAAAAAAAAAAAAAAGCAGCAGTTATTTGCTCCCAAAAGATTCTGGCACATCAACATTTTTATGTCCTGTCAGGTAGCCTGGGGCTATTTACTACCCATGCAAGCAAGGAAGCAGAACCATTATGCATCTGCATGGTAATTGTTATCTGACAGTGTGAAGGACTTATTAAACAGGAATGAGTAGTGAACAGTAGATTATTGAGCTGCCAAGTCATAGACACCATACAAGTGGCCCTTGCTTGAAGAAGGCAAAAAAAAAAATCTTTTAGAAATTAGAGGAAAGAATGTCACAGGTGGACTCCTTTATTTGCTGAACTAAGCTGTAAGAACTCTACTCTTTTGGATGCCCTTCAAAAAAAAATCAAAGCATGATGCTGTACACTTTAAACGTAGATAATAAAAACACATGATTGCTAAGTGTTCTTTCCTTTCTTCTAAATCAGTGGTCAGCAAGTATTTTCTGTAAAGGGTGAGATAGTAAATACTTTTTGGCTTTGTGGACCGTATGGTTTCTGTTGTAACTACTCAATTCTGCCATTGTAGTGTAAAAATAGCTACTGATAGTACATCTGACTATGTGCCAATAAAATGTTATTTAGAAAAACAGACAGCTGAATGGATTTAACCCACAAGGCATAGTTTGCCTATTCTTGCTGTAAATCAACGTTCTGCCTAAAAACTAATCGTGGAGCTAGGTCATTTGAGCCTGGCTTTAGAGAGGGAAAATAGTTCTTCCTGACTTTGGGTTTTAGTGGTCCAGGACTTTTAAGTCCTATGCTTTAACCCATTTACCTTCTTTTGCAGAACCAGAGCTTGCTTCGTCAAACCTCAGGACCTTCATTTGTTACCTGGTGTTAAAGGGTATAGATTTGTCTAGAGAAGGGTAGAGTGAGAGTCTTGACCTCTTCAGTCGCTCCAGTGACCAGAGTAACATTAAAAACAAAATAAATCCTCTGGCCAAACGATTATTTTCGGATAGATTATGGTACATTTTACCCTTTGACTACATGATTTTGAGTGTACATAGTATTTTATCTTTGGTTCAGTCTGAATATAGGGTTCGTTTAGCCTAGACACTTCTTATTGTGCCAGCTTTCTCCTATCCCTTTGAAAGGGAAGTTGGCTGCCTTCTTTACCTAAATTTTTACATTATTGAAGTTTCTTGGCTATATGTTAGAAGTTTTCCCTTCATAGTATGAAAAA